CGCCGAAAAGTTCACGATATGGAAACACCCTGGATTTTCGATAAACACGCCTGCAAGCCACCGTCTTAGCTCCTGACAGTGGCCGGTTCAAACGCTCAAAGCTATTGATTGAGACCAGCCATGCGCCCAAGGACAGCAAACAGATGGAGGAGAGTCCGCGCCATGCACAACTCTCATTACTACAGTTCTGTCGCGTGCAAAGAGGTGGAAAGTTTGGTCAGCGCGTCCCAATACACGCGCAATTCTCGGGATGATGTAAGATAATCCTTGCTACAGTGCAGGGTCGCAACATTGTACAGTTTCTCAACAATACGCCCAAGGAAGCTTGTTTATCGCTGTCATGCTAGGACAATAGTATAGACAATCTTCCAAGCTTCCACTGAGACCGCCGTCAGCCGAAGTCCCACTGTGCTGGTGCACAGCTCGTGTTCACGACAGACCAAAGCCCACGATGTCTTAGCGGCCCTGCAGTCCGCGCAAATATACCTGGTTGTTTGGATTTCGGACTCACAGAATGACCCTCGTGTTACCCGGTGACACATTGAATACAGGAAAACGGTTCGATGGCGTTTCATTGGTGCGGCTGAAGACTTATGCCATGTTTGGACAACGTTATGTCACTGCCACTCACCGTTGGTTTGTGGGGTGGCTGGAATACAGCTGTAAGTTCCAACCTCTGCGGCTACCAAAACGGTCACCAAGTCAGCATGCATGAGAAGGCAGGGCGTCGTGTTCTCCTAACCACCGATTATCCTGGTAGCCTTATGCATGCAGCTACGATTTAGGTAAGTCGTTCGCTGACTAGCGATCTTTTGCAGCCGGTTGCTAGGGTAAACTTGGCCAGCAAACGTTCTTAGAGACGCCTGCCATACTGAGAGAGCCTCATCCCGTGGTATGGCCGAGACTACGAACGTGATCGACTTGAGGTGATTTGGAACTAAAAACGTCCGGATGAATGTGGGGAACTACTTCGGAGCCCCTCAACCGTCGTGCGTGGATGCGACCCTGTTGTGGCTTTCCCATGGGTAGGGCAGAGCAGAAGGCTGGTAGGGTGTGAAGATCCCGCCTCTTCTAATGAGTATATTAGGTTCGCATTCCTCCTCAGTCTCATATATCGTGCCTCTCAAGCTTCATCAAGTCTTCGATCTTCAACACAGCAGCTCTTTCGTTACGGTTGCTCTGTTACTTTCGCTTCGCACCCATTACCTAGTAATACTGTTTACTCCTTAATACATCCAACACCTCTCGTCAGAACAAGATGAGATACTCCTTGGCAACGATGGCCCTTGTGGGCGCTGTCTACGCTGCTCCCTACGGTGGCGGCTACGGCGCCTCCAGCAGCGACGGCTACGCTGTGCCTTCCTCTGTATGTTAACACAAGTACCATTAGCTTTTGAAGCGTTCAGCTCTAACAACATATAGTCCGCATACGGTGCCTCTCCATCCGTGAGCAAGCCCTACGAGGCGTCCAGCACTCCTTGCGAGGAAGAGAGCAGCAGCGTGCCTCCGGTTGTGACCTCTTCGACTTACGTCCCACCTGTCGTCACCTCCAGCTATCCGGTCCACGAGTCTTCAAGCGTCCCCCATGTCTCCTCCAGCACGCCTTGCCCGGAGTCGAGCACCCCTGTTGTGCCGTCTTCCACTTACACTCCTCCCGTCGTTACGTCGACCTACACTCCTCCGGTAGTGACTTCGACTTACACTCCCCCGGTCGTTACGTCCACTTCCATCTACACCCCGCCCGCGAGTTCCAGCACCCCGTGCCCGGAGTCAAGCACACCTGTTGTGCCATCCTCCACCTACACTCCCCCCGTTAAGACGTCAATCTACACCCCTCCAGTCGTTACGTCGACCTACACTCCTCCGGTTGTGACTTCGACCTACACTCCCCCGGTCGTTACGTCCACCTCCATCTACGTACCACCCGTGAGCTCCAGCTCTCCCTGCCCGGAGACTGAGACCATCACCGTGCCGTACTCGAGCTCTAAGCCCTACGTGCCATACTCGAGCTCCAAGCCCTACGTGCCAGAGGTCTCCAGCACCACTGAGGTCACCATCACCTCGACTGTTGTCATTCCTCCCAGCTCCACTCCTTACGTACCCGAGGCTTCCACTTACCCTGTGGTCCCTCCTGTCGTCACCTCGTCAGTACCCGTCCCGGAGGTTTCCACCTACCCAGTCGTGCCTCCCGCCGTCACCTCGTCTGTACCTGTCCCGGAGGTTTCCACCTACCCAGTCGTCCCTCCCGTCATCACTGAGTCGGTGCCCGTCCCAGAGGTTTCCACCTACCCTGTGGTCCCTCCCGTCGTCACCTCGTCGGTGCCCATCCCCCCTGTTATCACTGAGTCTTTCCCCATCCCTGAGACTTCCACTCCCGTCGTCCCCGAGGCGTCTTCCTCCGGTTACGCCGTCCCCCCTCCTCCTGTTATCACTGAGTCTGTCCCCGTCCCGGAGACTTCCACTCCCGTCGTCCCCGAGGCGTCTTCCTCCGGATACGCCCCTCCCCCTCCTGCTGAGGAGACCACCACTGTCGTTGTTCCCCCTGCCTCCTCCCACGCGTCCACACCCGTCGGTACCGCCTCATCATCCATTGGACACGCCTCATCCGCTACCTCCCCTGGCTACCCCGAGTACACTGGCGCTGCTAGCTCCACCAAGCCCCTCGCTGCCTTCATGGCCGGTGCTGCCGCTCTCGCTTACTTCGTCTAAGCATTCGGCTTCTACCACCCTTTGTACAAGATGTACAAAAGCACACTTTTCGCTTTTCTTACTCTCCTTCATCGCAAGACTTCACCCAACCCCCTTTTAATCCCCCACACAACGACGACACGGGCACACGGAGGATAGACGGGCAACGCATTACGACGTTCTCTTGTAATCACTAATGACCTTTACTACTCTTCTTCGGCGGCGTGGCCCGGTCATGGCGAATGCGTCACATGGCTTGGCCATGAGCGTTTTGTATGCGCCCTATCAGCAAGCATTTATTACAGTGTCCTGCGATACGCGACTGCGCGGAATGGTTTGGAGTAATGTATCGAACGAAAAGTAATGACGGTGGCCTTCTGATTGGAATCTAGATAGCTCATGTAACCGTAGTAATCTATCACGAGGTTAACCGGCTTCTGAGATTGTACCATTGAGTGCTTGACTTGCTCTGAGTTACATCCGAATGACAACATGTAGGACATCATGCTAAGTATGCAAGTCGGAGCAAAACGGTCTTTCGTTCAATGATTCGTTCGTTCATAACTCTCAGGCGTCCCCATCACCACCCTAATTCGTGAAATCCTTCTTCGGCGCCTCACCCTCCTCCTTCCCACTCCCATACTTCCTAACATGTTCCTTGTTCGCACCCTTATCCTGTTCAAACTCCTTCAACTCTGGCGCGCTCATATGCTTAACCACATTATCCGCCTGCCACTTCTTGAAGCTAAACCCCACCCCCTCATGACTATAATCCTTATCATTCGCCTGATCCTTATGATACTTGATCTGCATAAACTCCGTATCCCTCGTCTCAGGATCCAGACTCAGCGATACCAGGCCCGTGATAGTCGCAGTCTTTGGGATGAGTTTGAAAGTCCAGGACTGCTTGTTTTTGAATTGGATCATGTCGTTGTCGGACCGGATTACTTGGTAGGATTCGTTGATGGAGGCGTTGAAGAGTTTGGGGAGGGCGAACCATTGACCCGCCATCTTGTAGCGGTCGTTGGCGTAGACGAATTGGTCGTCGTAGACGCAGTCGGGGGTGTAGCGTTTTACGCGGGAGATGGTGGGTTGGCAAGAGTAGAGGGCGATGATCTGGGGGTGGGTGTTAGTCTTTTGTGTATAGGCAGATGTTGCAAGAGGGGTGGGCTTACGTCGTCGACTAGGGCCTGGCGTTGCGGGCTGAGCTTGATGCTCTTGCTTGGGTCGGGCTCGTAGTCTTCACTCGTAGCTGTCTGTCTGGGCTCAAACTGCTCGCCGGGCGCATCGCTCGTATTGGGAAATCCTGAGTTCCCGCTGCTGACGATATCGCCCGTGGCTTGTCCACTAGTTGAAGTCGACATCTCTGCTCTTTGCTGTCCGGCTGCTAAACGCGGAGGTGGGTTGCTACCGCTTGGATTGGACTTCTGCTCTGCGTTCCAAAGCTGCACGGTAAGTGCTTTCTGAGGATGCTTGAGGGCGGGTTTACTGATAAAGTTCTTAAGATTGGCTGAGAGGAGCTTGGAGCGAGAGCCACTGGTTGCTGCAGGCATGGAGTTTGGGTTGTCGGAAGCTGAATCCATTGACGCGGTTGTGTACTATATACGTGTAGGCCTATGTTGACGCGTGGGTGCGTGAGCGTAAGATGACGACAGTGTTAATTGACAGTGGTGCTAGATGCGGGAGTCGATGATTCATGGACTCGAAGATCGGGAGATCCAAATGTTCACGCGCGCCTTTTGGTGTAGGAAAAGGATGGGGGGTGGGCGCCGTGACCTGCATCTTGATCTGGGCCCTGACATGGGATTTCAGGGCAGATTTGTGGAGAAGCGTTGCGTATGCCATGGGATTTGGATGTGTCGAGGGGTGCGGGTAAGGCTGATCGGCATCTTTCGGGTGTTGCGGCATGACGTACGGTAAACTTCCTTTTCAGGCAACTTCGGATGGGTGTCGATGGCGGTGTTAGCGTGTATACGCGCGCTGACCCCCTGGAGCGATCAGCCTGATCCGGCCGGCCAGCCTCGCAGCACCTGCGCGCTCCCTACGCGTCGAAAGAGCCAGAATGACGATGACGATGCGAGTCGCCATCAAGACGAAGTACGGAAGCTACAAGCCATACAATGGAAAGCAGCGCGATCGACTTAACCACCAAAAAGCGCGTCGCGTGTGTCTCTGGGCTGAAGAACGTTGACACGAAACCATTTGAGGAGCAATATTCCGGTAGTGACAGTTTGGGATTATGATCTTATACAGTTATGAAACGGGACCATTATCAACGTTCTAATTTGAGCGTGTTGCTCGTCTGAAATCTGCTATCCACCTCGTATGAAGGTTGCCAGATCGCCCACTTTCTCTTGGTCTTCTGAAGGCGGGTCTACCCAAGTTCTCCGCCCATGAACTGAGACCTCTGGCAGCCCTGCAGCCAATGAGTCTAAGAGAAGCTCGATTTTCTTGATCTCGTCCGGTGGTGTTCCATCGACAACCTGCACTGGCTTGGGGAGACCGATCTCCTCTCGGGTAATGTTCTTGCCCTTGTAGTCAGTCTTGTCCCAGGCTGTTCTCTTCGCATACATCTTGGCGGCGATGAGAACTGTTTTTGATTTAGCGTTGCGGACCGTATATTCAATATGTTAGGCCTTACGCTTGAGCTGTATTTTACCGTTTGGGTCGAGTCCAGTAGGATCAACCGTCCTAGGTCCTTTGTCATCTGGGCCGCCTGTCACCCAGAAACTCAATATCCTTACGTTATCGTACCACTCTCTATGCCACCACCAATCGGTGGGCCATTCTTCTTGATGAATTTCGGTCTTTCGTTTGCCAGTTGCGCTTGGATTTGCTCGGTATTCTCTCCCACAGGCTGTAGTGAGGCACCGTCTCCGTGCCAGTCGCCATCGAAAAGATAAGGGTAGATGGTATGGGCCCACTGCGGGTCACACAAATAACCTAAACGATCGGCTTTCCAATCGTCGGTCGTTATGGAGTCCTTGTCGGGCCAGCAGAAGTAGAAACAGTAACGGCGGGGGAACTCGCTCGTACTTCGCATGTGACCGTTCTCGTAGGGATCCAGTTGCTTACGCCAGCCTTTGCTGAGGTAGGGTTGGCGTTCACGACCGTCAGGCATGGCAAGATCTTGTTGTTCTAGCAAGCGTAGCTTCCAGTATTTCAGCAAGTGGGTGCAGGGTTCGTTGTGTTCGTCGTGCTGTGCCGATATCTGTTCAAAGCTACTCGTAATTGTTGTAAATGATGATGGTATACACCGGACACTGCATGTAGAGAAGAAGTATCTTTTGCACGGAAACACCAGGATTTATACTGACCTCCGGCTTGCCCAAAGCCATGACCTCGTGCGTAAGGACTCATGGGGAGTCAACGCTGACCTACGTTCTGTAGTCGATATCCACTCCGTGTATGAGTCCTGCCGCTTGCCCGCCCCGGCACGGGCAATTCGGCGGCGGTAGCCATGATATGAGTGTGCTCGATAGTGGTATGTGTCCAGTGACAAATTTGAATGAATGGGGTTGTGTGAGGACGACCACGCGTTGTCAGTGAGTGAGAGTTGGGGGGAGCGTCCAGTCAAGAAGGCAGCGGCGACCGTGTACCATAAGTATGTGTCAACGAAGCCAAGCTGGCTGTTGCTTCCGGTCATCGCACGTGCGAGATGTAACGCGGAACGTTCCACCGGAAGCCGCGGTGCTCGTTCCTGGGTTCTGCGGAACGAGCTACTGACATGTTGTGGTCTGTTTCTTTGTTCTGCTTCTCTAGGGCCAACGGGCTACGGTAACACGTGTGCTAGATCGTTGGACCCTTTCGTGTTGGTCGTATCCAGTCCCTGAGATCTCGATACTCATTCGTGGGTATCAATGTGCACTGGTCGACAAGTGAATTACGAGCGAGTGAGCTGAAGTACGACACGACCGTGAACTGAAGAGCGGGCCGGCCTGGGTATGCAAGAAGACTCATGGGAACGCGTGCAAAAAGGAAGCGAGATGTCAGAGAGTCTGGTCAGGTCTAATTGATCTATCAATAAAGGATGTAAGTCTATGCAAGCGGGTGGTTGAGAACGCAAATAAGAACACCGGAACATGACTGCGTCTTCACAACTTGCTGTCGTTCTGCTTAAGTCGAATAAGACCCTGTTCAGGTTAGCATGGCTGACTGTATGATTGTAAAGCGGAAGTCTTACCTCTTGTACGCAGGTCGCGATAAGGGTTCCATCTTTCGTGTACATCCTCTGGAAGACGAGTCCCCGACCATCGCCAGCCCAGGGAGTCTCTGTCTCGGTGAAGATCCACTCATCGGCCCTGAAGGTACGGGGGTTGTGGAAGTAAATAGTATGGTCCAGACTGACCATCATGCCAATCTCTGGCACGTCATCCGCAACCTTCTTTGGATCTTCTCCATTCTTGATGCGCTGTATGCGCTTGATGTCTGCCTCGCTGACGGACTGGCGCTTCAACTCGGCATCGTCCATCTCCAGCAGTGTCTTGAGCACGTCTTCGCCGATGCTGGACTTAGCGGCACTCTTGCGTTGTGAGGAATAGCGCCAGAGCTTGTGGACGCGCGCGACGGTGCCGATGAAATAGCTGTCGGACATGTAGGCGATGGCGGAGAGGTGGGCCTCGTGGCCTCCGGCGGGGGAGATGCGACCGCGTGCCTTCACCCATTGGCGGCACTTCTTGGTGTGAGGTTTGTCTGAGTCCTCTGGAGGGGGTTAGGCTGGGCTGTGACGTTTGACATGTGAAAGCACTCACCATTCTCGGTCGCCAGCCTCTGGCTCTGGAACGGACTGTGGCCGCTGGGGTGCATCTCTGAGTCCGAGTCCTCCTCCGGCCCTGGCACGTCGGCCATTGGGACCACATGCTCGACCTTCTTCGCTCCTCCGCTGTTCTGGCGCACGAAACTCATAGTTGTTGTGAAGATGACCTTGCCCCGTTGGCGCGCCTGCACTGTTCTTGTCGCATAGGACTTTCCTGATCGTACTCTCTCTACGTGGTATATGAGTGGTATCTCTGAGTTACCGGCAAGCACAAAGTAGCAGTGCATAGAATGTACAGTGAACTCGGGATCAACCGTCTTCTGGGCTGCAGCGAGCGTCTGGGCGATGGCAGCACCACCGAAGATACCGCGCGCACCCGGGGGATGCCATAGTGGGCGCGTGTTGGTGAAGAGGTCAGGGTCGATGTCGGACAGCTGCGTCAGTTCGAGGACATTTTCGATTTCGGATTGCGACTGGTCAATGGGCGGCGGGCGGATGAGTGTCGCCATGGTCTCGGATTTTGGATATTGGAGGAACAAGTGGATAGTTCAAGTGATAGTTGGCCAGGAGCAGATGAGAAGAGAGCGTGCTGGTGATTACTTTACTTGACTCGGGCGCGTCCCGGCACACCTTCAGCTTCCTCGAGCCGAGGCATAACGCGCAAACCCACATGTCGCAGCAGGTACCACCACGCGCAAGGGGCAGCGACGAACGGCTGACTAAGGCGGCCAGTGAGGAAGGCACTGAGCGCCAAGAGGAAGGCGCGGCTGCTCTGGGGTAGGAACGTCATACTGGATGTCCGGTGGTGGCCTGCGTACCTGACTTGTTTGAAGCCAATGTGCGCTTCCAGGCACTCGACGACAGGGTCTATTCCAATCTGGGACTCCCTTTTGGCCATTCTTCACGCGCGCTCTCTCCTCGACACTCTCGCATTGGCTCACGGCGCCTCGTATCTTTACTTTTAGCATGTCGCGGATTGCCACCGCATAGCCTAACAACATTCGCTCCACCTGACTGCGCCGCCGGAGGAAAGAGACACCATGGCCGAGACGAACCCGGAGTTGCAGGCCAAGCTGCAGGAGCTGGACCACGAACTCGAGGAGGGCGACATCACACAGAAGGGGTTGGTACTCTCCCGCATGCATATACACGGCTTCTATCTTCACGGTTACTGCCGCTGTCGCATTCGCATCCTCCCCCACGTGCGCTAACGAGTCGCACAGCTACGAAAAGCGCAAGACAGTCCTCCTGTCGCAGTACCTGGGGCCCGACTTCTCAGCGCAACTGCAGCATGACCTGCGCGGACAGAGCCCCGCCCAGAGCGAGGGCTCAGGCTCTCGCAGCGCATCCCTCGCCGCCCTCTCTGGGCCAAACCCACAGCAGACCCAGCAGACGCCGCACATCGAACTCCCCCGACCCGACTCGTACCATGAGAGCTCGCCGCAGGGCACCATGGGCTCGTCGATGCACTACCCCAGCTCTTCGACGAGCACCGCTGGCGGCAATTCGCAATACATGGCGTACCCACCGAGCCAAGTAGGGCGCTTCCAGGAGAAGCAGTTGGGCCTGCGCACAACTTCACTGCAGCGCAATGCCTCCCAATTGTCGCAAGGGAGCGAGACGTTCATACCCCGACCCCAGACGCCCGAGTACACCTACTCGCGCGAACCCACGATGATGGGCAACTACGCTTTCAACCCGGATACCCAGCAAGGCTTCGAGAATGGCTATGGGTCGCCTGGAGAGGCCAGCAGGAGGAGCACGATGCTGGACGTGAACCAGGGCTACTTCTCCGACTTCACAGGGCAGCAGATGCAGGACCAGCGCGACTCATACGGTGGACCGAACCGCTACTCGACGGGCGACGCCTTCTCCCCGACCGCTGCGATACCACCGCCGATGATGAACCCCAGCGACCTGCCCGTGGGTGCTGCAGACACCATGATGCCATTGGAACCGCGAGATCTGCCCTTCGACGTATACGACCCTCACAACCACAACATCAAAATGTCCAAGTTTGACAACATCGGTGCTGTACTACGCTACCGCGCTCGTACGCAGCCGAGGACTACCGCTTTCTGGGTGTTAGACGCGAAGGGCAAAGAAACGGCTTCCATCACTTGGGAGAAAGTGGCCAGTCGCGCTGAAAAGGTCGCCAAAGTTATTAGGGACAAGAGCAATCTTTATCGGGGCGATCGCGTGGCGCTGGTATACAGGGATACGGAGATCATCGAGTTTGTCGTGGCTTTGATGGGATGCTTCATCGCGGGCGTTGTAGCAGTTCCCATCAATAGCGTCGACGACTATCAGAAACTCATCCTCCTCTTGACCACAACCCAAGCACATCTCGCACTGACCACGGACAACAACCTCAAAGCCTTCCACCGTGACATTAGCCAGAATCGTCTCAAGTGGCCGAGTGGCGTCGAATGGTGGAAGACGAACGAGTTTGGAAGTTACCACCCCAAGAAGCATGACGACACGCCCGCCCTGCAAGTGCCCGAGGTAGCATATATCGAGTTCTCTCGCGCGCCAACTGGCGACTTGCGTGGTGTTGTACTGAGTCACCGCACCATAATGCATCAGATGGCTTGCATCAGCGCCATGGTCAGCACCATACCTGCCAACAACCCGAATAGTCAGGATACTTTCAACGGCAATTTGAGGGATTCGTCTGGCAAGTTCGTCGCGCCAGTGCAGAACAGAGCACCTACCGAAGTCATTCTTTCTTACCTCGACCCCCGTGAAAGCGCTGGTCTCATCCTGAGTGTCCTGTTCGCTGTCTATGGTGGTCATACTACTGTCTGGCTGGAAACACCCACCATGGAGACACCTGGTCTATACGCGCACCTCATCACCAAGTACAAGTCAAACATACTGATCGCCGACTATCCGGGTCTCAAGCGCGCCGCATACAACTACCAACAGGATCCTATGGCTACTCGTAATTTCAAGAAGAACACGGAACCCAACTTTGGCTCAGTGAAGATTTGCTTGATTGATACACTCACTGTCGATTGCGAATTCCACGAGATTCTTGGAGATCGTTACTTCAGGCCCCTACGGAACCCCAGGGCACGAGAGCTGATTGCACCTATGTTATGCTTGCCCGAACACGGAGGTATGATCATATCAGTGCGCGATTGGTTAGGCGGCGAAGAGCGCATGGGATGTCCATTGAGCATAGTGTCAGAGGAATCGGATAACGAAGACGAGGTCGATGACAAAGCCGCGGCAGCCAATGGCTATTCTAGTCTTATCGGAGGGGGCACCACGAACAACACCAAGGAAAAGAAAAAGAAGAGCCCAACAGAATTGACCGAGATCTTGCTGGACAAGGAAGCATTGAAGTTGAATGAAGTTGT